TAAATATTAAAATGCCCCTTTTGTAGTCACAAATCGATTATAGTCACTATCACACTAATAGTTAGTCCCGATATAATAATTAACATATGAAAATTTCCCCTTATATAGTCATATCACGTGATTAACAATGTATTCGGAAAATATATCGCGCGTTTTGTGCATAAAATGAATTTTCCTTTTAAGTTGATAATCACCACATGTTTCGAACTTTTTCTTTACAATTTTTATTTGAAAATGTTTTATTTTTCGATTTCAAACTTTTTTCATTACATAAATTCATCCTTTTACAAAAACTATCTTTTTCACTTTTTTTTATATCTAATATAATGCCACCTATACGTTTACAAAAAGCAAGGAGAATTCGTTCTGCCATTAGTAATGAAATAAAAAAAGAAATATGTGAATATATAATGGCAAATAGTAATGTGAAACAGGAAGAAGTTGCACTTTACTTTAATACAAAATATAATGAATTAAACATTGATAGATCAACTGTATCAAAAATATGGCAAAATCGTGAAAAGTGGATGGCAGTTCTTTCAACTTCACAGACTGCATGTACATTTCGTCATCGCTCAGTTCAGTATCCAGAACTTGATAAGGCCTTGCAAATTTGGACAGCACAAGCAGTGACCGCTGGACTTCCTTTAACTGATATGATTTTACAACAAAAAGGAATAGAACTTGCACAAATGTTAAATATTGGAGAAAATCAAATAAAATTTACTAATGGTTGGGTGTACAGATTCAAAAAACGGAATGGACTTCAAAGAGTTAAGTTTTCAGGTGAGGCTAATAGTGCCCCTATAGAAACTCTTCCAGAAGAACGTGTACGTCTTCGTGCACTTTTAGCTAAGTATGACAAGGAAGATATTTATAATGCAGATGAAACTGGGCTTTTTTTCCGAATGGAGCCAAACCAAACATTGAGTACTGGTGCAGTTGCGGGGCGTAAAATGGTAATTTTTATTGTAATAATTTTTCGTTAAAATAACTCTTTAAATGTTTTTTATTTTTCTGTAATCACTTTTTGACAAAATAATTATTTTCTGTAGGACAAAAGCCGAGTTTCTGTTTTATTTTGTGCTAATGCTACAGGATCTCATAAAATTCGTCCTTTGGTAATTGGAAAATCATTAAATCCCCGATGTTTTAAAAATCTCAACAAGTCAACTCTTCCAGTCATTTATCGAGCCAATTCAAAAGCATGGATGAGATCTGATATTTTCATTGAATGGCTTAAACACCTTGACTATTACTTTCGCACAATGGATAGAAGAGTTTTACTTCTTATTGATAATGCAGGATCCCACTTTAATCCAAAAAGATTTAAAAAAAATGATGATATGGATGATGAAGAAATTTCAGAATCTGATGACGAACAAGAATCTAAAAAACAAAAGAAAAAAGAAAAACCTGCTGTTGATCTTACTAATATTGAGCTTGTTTATCTTCCACCAAATACAACCGCTCATCTCCAACCTATGGATGCAGGTATTATCCATAGTTTTAAAGCTAAATATAAACAAGAATTTTGTAGACATTTAATTCGGCAGTTTGATTCTGGAGTTGATCATGTTAAGTAAGTTTAAAAAATTAACATTATTTTTCTATTAATGTTATTAATTTATTATTTTATTTAGAAATAAGTTAAACATTAAGGAGGCAATTGATTATATTGCTGAATCATGGAATAATGTCACTCCAACAACAATTCAAAATTGTTGGATCAAAACAGGTATACTTCCATCTTGTGATGATGATAATACGGATGAAGAAGATTTAGATGATGATGAACTTGAAAATCTTCTTATTAATTTGCCGGAAGAAACTGCTGATGTATTGGAATATTTTCAGTTGCTTGATCGTGAAATTCCAACTGAAGAGCACCTTACTGAAGAGCAAATTATTGATATGGTGCGAAATGAAGAAAATCAAGTAGAAGAAAGTGAAGATGATGACGAAAATGAAGAAATTCCTCTGATATCAGTGAAAAAAGCAATTAATGGGTTGGAAACTTTTGTTAATTATTTTGAACAACAAGAAGATTCCGAGTTTAATATTGGTGATTTGCGTATTTTTAGAAAATACTTACGAGTAATTAGAGTTAGAGAGATCAATGCAAAAAAGCAAAGTACACTTGATGGTTTTTTTGATAGGTAAATAACATTAATATAATTTTTAATAATTGCGAGATGTAATAC